TTATCTGTCAAAAGCTCGAGTAATGCTGGAGCATGCTGGCTAAGTTCATCATTACCCATCTCTTTATTGAGTTTATGCTCTGCAACATACTTTGTTACAATCGCGGACATGATAATGTGGATATAAAGTAACTATTAGATTATGTGTAACTGTTAGGTTATACTACACATAAAAAAGTTCAATTCAAAAAATATTCCCAATAATTTACTACGTGATCCCTCTAGTACCCGTTCATGTCAGTGAAAGGTCAGATAGGCGAAAAATAATATAACTTTTGACCTAGTCGAAAAGGATATTTCTTCAATTTGAAATCTGCAGGTAGATATGATATGCGAAAAAATATATAGTCATGAAATGAGGGTTCCATAGCTATAAACAAATTTTCCTATATCATAATTATGTTTTAGTAAAGTACTCGCGTTAGAGATAATATATGTTCTGGTCCTAAAACATTTGCCTTAGTGAATACATCATATAAAGCATCCGGTTTATACTTCGAAGGGGCTAAATTTGGGTGATAGAGAAATTTCATGAGAGTGTCATTTCTCCAAGCTTTCATGTCTTTACAATTCCAAGTTATCCCTATTAATGTAAACAAGTTATTACTGGAATAATTCATTTGGATTAAATTCTGAAGTGAGGACTGTCTATTTTTTTCTGGGATAAATAAACACATACCACCCTCAATGGCAGATTCTACACTAATAGGAAATCTTTTATGAATATCTGATCTATTAGCTAGGATAGATAAAGGTGGAATTAGAGCTGGGTAGTGGAAATCAAATAAGGGATCTAATTCGAATTCATCAATATATATGCTTCCAATATCTTCTAAATAATCTGAAAGTCTATCAGCGTGTCTGTAGCCTTCATAGATCAACTTCTGAAATAGCTTCCCATTTGGGTTGACCCATCAGCTGGTTAGTATATTGAGTACCGTTCTTTGCATTATATCTATAACATAAGTATGAAATGATAGTTTATATCAATTAATTTAAATACATATTTTATTAGAAAATTAAAAGTGAAAGAGGGTTTTATATCCTAAAATACTTCTATGGCTCATCTTACTTGTGCATATATTAAGAAGGATGGCACTATTTGTGGAAATAAATGCTGGCTCCCTATAGGGTGTTATAGACATTCAAAATTATATGAAAAAATATAAAAAAAAGATTCTGCATTGTTTGTGGCTTTCCTAATGATTCTACTACAGGGTGTTGTCCTAAACACTCTGCTAGGTTTCATTCACTAAATTATCAGATGAGGCATAAGTATGGGACTGAGGTCCTTCAACCTGTAAAGACATCTGAATTATCTGCTGAGAAGTGAGCAAAAAAATATTATTCTTTTCATTAGTCGATTATTATATAAAATTTTGGCAGAAGCCTATGTCTCAAAAGTATGTGACTACGTATCCTAGCTGGAATGACGCAAGGATAGAGATTTTTTTTAAATATACTTGGACAAGTGTAGTCTTCTGCAGAATTATATTATATAAAAATAGCAGAAGACTACACCTTCCTGTTCATAAACGAATAATATTAACAGATATCAAACAAATCTTGAATGACTACTGCAATTTGCATGGTATCCGCTCTGCTAGGGCTAGAATAATTATCTAATAATAATTCATCGGATAAGAGATTACTATATCTATACTGAGTATCTTCCCCTTTTCCCAATAAACTTCTTCTCCTATTTGGTATAAAGGTAATTCAGGAGCGTCTTTAGTATCAAATGACCCAACTAGATGGTAATATCTAAGACTTTTATCTATAGCCTTAAATTTTAGCCTATATGTTGCATGTAGTGCTGAATTCAGTAAGCTAAGTTTCGCTCGAATTGTTTTTAATCCTGATTTTTAGCTCTACATAATGCATCTACATTATCAAAAACCCGAGCCATTTTAGGAACTAAACCCTGGAGATATAATATCGATTCAAAAGAATCTATACGCTTCTTAATATCATCAGATTTATATCGTATTCTATCATCGATATCTTTAGCTGGTGTGCAAACTCTTAATAATTCAAGGCAAATTCAGTGCCTCTCAGCCCGGGTTGCAGTCGTGAGCCTATTTTCTCTATAATCTTTTCGGAAAATAGCCTTAACAGCCATTTCATTATTAGTACCTGCATCTCGCAATTGTCTATAAGCTCTGAACTATTTCATATAATTATAATTTCCATACTCAGAGATAAAATCTTCAGTTAATGTTTCAGGTGGTATCTCATAACAATCCACAATATGATGCCAGTCTAAAGAGCGCGTCTCTTCTAAAGTCTTCTTTGACTTATTCTCTAATAATTCAGCAGTCTCATGGTTGACAATAGAAGCATTAGATATATTTGATATCTCCTCTGCTTTAACAATAGAAAAACTCATCTTCACTGTTTGGAATAGCAATATCGTAGTATCTTCAGGTTTAGGAACGAATTCTATGACAGAAACTACCATACCTGCCTTTGAAGAAAATCGACTATCCTCCAACCAAATAAATGTCGGGAACGGAAATTTTCCAACATATATGCTACCCACAATCGAATAGTTGACATATCTTTATTCCGTATAATAGAATCTACATCTGGAAAAATCCCTCTATTCTGAAGTTCACTAGGAAGGCATTCGCGTTTGTCATTCAACAACCATTGGAATAATCCTTTCTCTGTAACTGGAACATTAGAAGATCTCTGCTCAATATGACATATATAATCTTTAATACATCGCATGCAGAATAATATCTGATTCGTCCCGGCATTTGTTTCTATGTAGCTATTAAAAAGTCAGAATGCTCGCTCAAACTTAGGAATAGTGCAAGATACTCCTATTTTTAAAGTGCTGGTATAAGCAACTAGGTCAATGTCTTTTCATGATTCTTCTACTTTACTGAAATTTTGAGCTTTTTCTATTGGATCGGATTTACCGTGATATTCCTCAGTCTTGAGAGCACGAACAATTCCTTGTAGATCTTTTCTAAGATGGCAAATAATTGATGCACTTTTACGATTCTCAAAAGGTAACAAGGAAGTCTGTTTAGCCCAATCCCAGAGTTTGACTAATATAGATTCTTTATTAAAAGCTAGGCGGAATGTTTTACCTTTCTGAGGCTGGTAAGTGTTATGAATAATTGAAAATAGTTTATCCTTGTGAAGAGCTTTAATCCATTCGATATTAAGATCAGTAAGATTATTATCTATAACGATAATGCGTCTCGCTTCTTGAATTAGTTTATACAATTTCTCTATTGATTGCTCTGCTAAACAACTTTGTGCCTGAGCAATTATAGATACTATTTCATCAAGCCATAAATCGTATTGGGTTGGAGGACATTTGCATTTTTTATCGCATTTACAATTATTAGTAATACGGTGTAAACTCTCTATCTGGCATACTACCCTTTTATGATCAAGTAGATTTATATTACCATCAATATCGCAATATGACTTAAGATTAAGCCTTGTAGTAACAGCATTTGAGTAAGAGTGACGCGTGAATAATACTAACAAATTTACATCATTAGATATAGTAAGATGCTCTAGAATATATGTTTTTCCCATCTCCCAAGGTGATCCCACATAAATATCACCTTCATTAGGTAATAGTCTTACTATCTCTTTTCATACATTTCTGTAGCTATAAGGGGGTCATCATACTTGACCCAAGATGGGAATTTTAAGAAGGCATTAGGAAAACCCAAAACCTTAACCTTGTGAAAGGATTGTAGAGATTTTTTATTTTCTTGCCAAATTTTTTCTGCAATAGATGGATCACATTCAAAAATTTCTCCTGGTTCATCACTATTCTGCCGAAAACATTTTATGATGAATTTTCCACTGCTAGCACATACACGACTGAACCACCGCTGATCTTTATCATGTATACATTTGCAGAGTGAGCATTCTAGTAAAGCTTTTCAATTAAAATATACAAAGTTTTCCTTCGTCTCTTCCCTTTCTTCGATAGTCTAACTTCCAAGATAGTTAGTATACTTATGTAAGACTAGATCTGCATATTTTTGTAATATATCATGACTTACCTTTGATAATTGATTATTATTTTTTTTCATGCTAAGAATGCGAGGTCTTACTTCAAGTCCTAAGCTAGTAGGTGGTTAAACCCTAGCGTATTCAAGTTCATTCCAGCCATTATCAAGAGAAAACTGAAGGATACGCTTCACACAACCTTTATTTGCTGAACCAATAAGGCGGAGGTTAAAGTTTTGACCAGGTAATCCTCGATCAATATACTTGCCAAACTTTTCCCCGGTTAAGGTATATACTAGTTCTGTGAATGCTTTGAGTTCATGATGATCGATAAGAAGAGCTGGTGCATATAGAATATGGTAGCTACACTTGCTAGGGTCTGATGATGTAGTGATTACTAATCCTTTGAAAATGTCTTCCCAACTGCAGTCAAGAATTCGATATAAAGCTCTTATAAAAGAGCAACAGATTCGGATGAATACGCTATCAGACTTAATACTATTTGCTTTCATATCATCATGTATAGCATCGATATCGATCACAGCTCTTCAAGGTTTTTGACCGTTAATGCATTGATGAATTAACGGTAAACTATATACTTCTGAAACATCATATGCAACAGAAAACTTTGGAGCTTGATCGTCTTGATCGATTTTGATAACCAATTTATTTTCAACTTCATCCCGATCATAGGCATTATATAAACTAGAGCCTTTTACATTTGGAAAGAGGAATGAATAGATTGGGAGATATTCCAATGAACCTTTATCATCTGACATATCTCTAGGCGGTAATGAGAGAATTTTCCGAATGGCACTTACCAAATCTTTAGGAGAAAATTTATCATTGAACTTTTCTTGTCTTAAAGAGTATGTTGCATTAGCCTTTTGCTCATCTGCATTTAGTAGTTGAAATGATTGAGACATGGTAATGCTGAGTGAGACGCAGAGAGCTTATTCATTATCTGACTCATAATTAGACTCATAGTTATTATAATTATCTGACCTTAAGTTAGATCCATTATCAGTATAACTGCTAGAGTCACTTAAGTATTCATCGGACTCGACGCCATCGTAGCGGATAAGCATTGTGCTGATTCTAGTGCGATCAGCTTGGTTAAAAATAGTTGAGGTACACATGTTGACAGTAGGTAAAGTTATTATATCACAATATATTTCTGAAATGTTTAATTTATTTTTTTTGATGAATGCAAAAGAGATGTATAGCAATTTTAGTCAATAAATCGTAAAAGAAGATAATCTGATATACAATAAAAAAGTATAGTCTTCTGCATAATTATTATATAAAAAATTGGCAGAAGACTACACTAATACTAGTATATATCTGGATATACAACAAAAAAGTGTAGTCTTCTTCAGAAATTTTATATAAAGAATTGGAAGAAGACTACACTTTCTAGGTATATACTCGATATGGTATAGCCTTCGCGAAATATAGAGGTATACCAAAAAGAGATATGAAGTTGACACTTCCAATTCTCTAATCAACTAATCCACTAACCCAAATCCCAAATGCCACTTAAATATTCCTCAAATATCTCTGATGCATTTTTTTCGGGGAATGCAAAAAGAAATGATAGCGAACTTAGACAGCAAAATGTAAAAGGAAGACAAGCAGATATGTATCTGGAGATGGAGCCTTCTCCGTAATTATATTATAAAAAATTAAAAGAAGGCTCCATTTTTCTAGATATGTGTTCAGTTACAGTATAGCCTTCGCATAAGATTTATTCGCTTAATGTCAGCTAACACTATTTCATAATTTTGGCCAGAATTATAAGCATAATAACTCAGCATCCAAGCTGGCATAAATGGTCTAAAACTGGCGAACTAATAGAAACTCTAGTTTCCTGCCAGTTTTATGACAGTTCCAGGAGAGTTCTATGACACTACCAGGATGCCATCATGACGCCATCACAACACCAAATTGGATCCTTAAATCACATGCCCAAAAGATCGACCAGAGTTATAGCATAGAGCTGGCAAAAATTAATCGCAAATCTACTGCGCCACTGTCACCTCTTTTTTTACACCATTTCGGCATCCTGGAGGTAACCAAATTGGCGCAAAGGATAAGAACCTCAATATGAAATCTAGCACTCAGTCAGGCGCAGAAGGCCAGTATCCTCAACATGGAACCAGATATTCAAACAAGCATGGAAAGCCGATACCAACAATATAAAATTTAACAAGTAAACGAATCAGGAACAAGAAGAAAGTAGTAACCATTAGATCATGACATCACCATTAATTTAAAGCAAGACCATCTACTGTTAGACTATGAAATTACCACCGCAATATACAGGAAACAATTAAAATAATGTAATAAACACATAGAAGCTACCTATAAGTAGATTATGAAGTTACCATCAGATTACGAATGACAGGTTATGAAGTTACTACCAGAGTATGAATTTAGACTATGAAATCACCATCAAATTATGAAGATACCAACAGGTTATGAAATTGCCATTATGATATGAAGTTACTAATAGACTATGAAGATACCAACAGGTTATGAAGTTACCATTATGACATGAAGTTACCAATAGACTATGAAGTTACCAATAGACTATGAAGATACCAACGGGTTATGAAGTTACCATTATGACATGAAGTTACCAATAGACTATGAAGATACCAACAGGTTATGAAGTTACCATTATGACATGAAGTTACCAATAGACTATGAAGATACCAGCAGATGATAAAGTTATCTTCATATCCTAACACAAGTCGCATGTGACTTACATAATATAATTATATTATGTAAGTCACATGCGACTGGTGTTAGTATCAGTGTTGGTATCGGTGTTAGTGTTGATGTTATCATTGGTGTTAGTGTTAGTGTTGATGTTGATGGAGTTGGAATTGAAGTTAGAGTTGGTATTTTTTAATGTTTCATCTTCCAGTATTAATGTTAGCATTAATGATGGTAATGATGATGATGTTGATGTTAGTGTTGGTGATGATATTGGTGATGATATTAGTGATGATATTTGTGATGAAGTTGGTGGTGATGATGTTGGTGATTTATCATTTTTTTTTTGAAGACGTTTATTTTTACGAACATTATAATCTTGTTTATGTTGTAAATGTTTTTTTACATATTCTTTTATAAGCTAACTACCTTCCCCAACTTGTAAATTTTTATTTCTTTTTTTAAACTATTAAAAAATTAAAAAATACAAAATAATAATCAATATTTTATAATT